ATATAGAACATAAGTATAATAAAAGGGAAAAAGTGGGGTCAAGTTAGATTAAGAAGTTTCCACTTTTCAGGCATGGTCGGCGCCCATGAATGAGGTAAGAGGGATGAACTTAGTCTTCAAGATTGATGAACATGATGATGAAGGAGGAAATGAAAAAATAGGGGAAAAATAGAAAGATGTAGTAACAGGAGATATCACTCAAGTGTAGAATAGTGGGATGGAATCAATGCGACGAAAACGAGAAGTGTAAAAAAAAACCGTCTCGGTCATTCGGCCCCAAAAGCAGGACGTCATTTGATCAAAATCAAAAGTCTTGGCTGCTCGTTCTGTCTTTTTCTTTCCGCTCAGTCTTTCTTTCTCGCTCGCGGCCTTTGCCACTTTGGCGGCTCCTCAGCTCTCTCTCTCTCTCTTTTTTTTTGTGTTGATCATTGCTGGGTTAGCTATTGCGTGCTTGCTTTCCCTCCCACTCCTCTTGCAAATCATCTTCTCATCTTCTCCTTCATTCTCTTGATTGAGAGTTCACTTTCGCGTTGTTGCGCCTTCGCAATCAATCGCATCCCATACTTCCCTTACTACTTACTCTGATCATCCACTCTCCCGATCGCATTCTCTCCGCCCTCCCCTTCCCCTCCACTCCCTCCCTGTTCGGCAACAATGGGCGGCGCTAGAAACATCTCCCACGGCCGCGGCGGCGCAGGTATGTTTAGCACTATCTCTCCCTCTGCCTCTCCCTCTCTTTCTCAGTCTCCCTTTTAACTCACAACATCATCTCATCTAACGCGACATTGCTCCCCTCACAGGCAACATCTTCTCCGGCCGCAATGAATCCCGCACCACCCCAAAGGACCTCGTCACCCCCACCATCAAACAAGACATCTTCACCACCGGTCGCGGCGGCTCCGGTAACATGATGCACAATGATCCGGAACACCCCGAATTAGCCCGAGAAATGCAGGATGTGGAGTCGCCCCCATTGCGCATGGAAGAAGCGCCGCACTTTATGGGCCGAGGTAATTTCCCCTATACCTCCTATACCTCCCCTTTGTCCGTGGTCGTGTCTTTTCAAATAATGAGCTAATCAATGGGTTGTAATGTTATCCAGGCGGCGCTGCAAACGCATATATCCCTTCCGCGGAAGAAGAGAAGCGCGTGCGCGAACAGGAAGAGGAGCAGTTGAGGCGTGTGCGCACGCAATCGAAGGATCGCAGGAAGGAAGCTGAGACCGCCAGTGTCGCTGGCGAGGGTGCCGGTGCTGGTGGTGGGGACGGTGAAGAACGGAATCCGTCCAGTTGACTAGCACATGTTTGGAGTTGAGGATGAGGTTGGATCTATTGCTGGAAGTTATTTCTGTCAGTCATTTCTGCTGGCAGATATGGCATGGCAATGTGTGGCATGGCGTGGTGAGGTATGGGAAGAGATAGTGAGTGAGGGAGAGTGAGCTGCGTTCTGTCGCTCACGCTAACTTACTATTCTCCTTCTTTATTTCTTTCTTTGCTCTGGCTGCGCTGTGCTTTTCTGGCTTTGACTCTTCTCCAAACGTGTGATTATCGTTGCACCATATGTGTGTGTGCTTGTGTTTCCGCCCCTCTCTCTTGAGTGGACCGGACTGGACTGAACTGAACCGGACTTCTGAGATGGATGGGATGAGAGCATCCCATCTATCTATACTTCGACTGACTGACGACCGACCGACCGATACCTGCACTACCTGCTCCTAACAATCCCCAAGCAGATCAGTGTGCAGGTGCAGGTAGTGCTCGACACCACCTACCTACCCACCTACTCATCTCTCCATCTCTATACCCATCTCCTCAGATGGAGAGAGAGATCTCCCACTTTCACACATCCTCTCCCTTCCTTATCATTTCTTATCATCATATTTGCTCCCATTCGGCCAGGATCTGTTTTTTGTGTTTTTGAAGAATACCCATGTAGTAAAGAAACCCGGACGTGGGGAAAAAGAACGGCGCGAGGGTCGGATTTTGTCGTTTCATCTCATTTCATACTTTTGATTGCTGTTGCGTTTGGACTGGGGGTATTGTTTTTCTTTTTTTTTCTTTCAAAGTATAATATGTGTGTGCCTTTAGTTATTCAAACCATTTGATCTCATTTCCACTCATTTATTTTCTTTTACGAAGGTTGGCAGGGCACACCGGGGCCCTTTTGTAGTGTGGTTGTTGGCACTATTGTTATTAGTAGTGAGATCTCCAATGAAATCGCGGGGGCTTATCTATGGGGAGGGCTGCATATTGCTTTTTCTTGCCTTGTTTCTTTTAGTGGTTATTACTAGGGGTATTATTATTATTACTTGGGGTTCTGCTAATTCTGTCTATTGCCGAGGTAAATAGTGTAGATTGTGTATGAATCTATAATCCGAATAAAATGTATGTATGCATAGCTTGCTCTGGAATAGAAATGCAATACCAATCAAGTACTCCGTATATTGCTTATGAGGTATCATCCATCTCACGCTAAGTGAGTATGCGTCCCATGCGATCATGCCATAGATAGTTGTAGGTGGTGTAGATGTCCAGCACCCTGGTTCAGTTTGCGCTGTCGAGTGATTGGCGGTCGGATCTCCTCTCCTTCATGTCCATCGACTAACCAACTAGATTCCACTAGTTTGTCGCATTTGTCTTTCTTCGTTGTGCTGTTCATTCCGCTCCGCTCTTAGTGCTTATTCCCGGTCGGCCTCCCCAAATGTCACTTCCCGTCGTGTTCTGGTCTCCTTTCTATTACAGTTCACTGCATGACTCCCTCTTCTTCAAGACTGCATGAATTCTGTGTAGGTCACTCATGGTAGAGCCTGGCCCGCGGATGGCAGGGGTGTTCCCGCCTGCTTCAAGGTATGTCGACGGGCAGCGTGCACGCTGCACGCGTCTCTCAAGAATGGTCATGGTGACCGAACAATGTACTCTCCAGCGCGCAGATGCATCCATATCTGGTGTCTGAAATGAACAATGCGCACTGGAGAATAGAAAAAAATAGGTACTTATACATCTCGTCCATGAACCGTCTCAGACTGGAGGAATATAGCATCCTGTCGCGTCCACCACCCAACTGATTGAGTCTTTCCAGTCTGCACCCAGGCGCTGGCCGATCTCCCGGATCAACCGCGCTCCCCACTCGCCCATCCACCAATGTCCTCGCAACGAGTGGATAATCACCGCGTAATGGGCCAAGATGGCTAACGCAAAGGGCTGTCTCTGCTGCAGCAAATCCAAGTATCGCGGCGGGATCTGGAAGATCCACTGGAAGGCAATAATCATGGTTTCTCCGCCCCGGGCCAGCTTGTCCAGCGAGTAGCTCAGGTACCGGATCGTCGTGTCATACGTGTCCTTATCATGGGCGGGATCGCGGCTGGCTAGGTCCGCGTTCATTCGTGTCAGCGACATGATGGCCAGCCGAGACGTGTCGGGCATGGTCGGCTGCGAGGTGTCGCACTCGAGAAGCGGGCTGAACTCGCCATCCGCGACCCAATTGATGATTCCTCCTTGGACGTCCACCGACCCGCGTGTGAACCGAAATATGTTGAGAAGCTCATTCAGGACGTCCCCGAGTTTGTTCGTCGTCCGAGGGAGGGCGAAGGAAAAGACCACCATGATACTGGACAGAGCAAAAGCGGCATTGCAGTTGGATTGATCCAGACGTCCCGCGATCTTGCTGAGACCGGTCACAGCCCGGGACTGGTGTGCCTGGGCGGTTCGGATGTAATAGTCTTTGGGCGGACCGGAGGGGCAGTTGAAGCCCAGATCCAGGGCGGAGAGAGCCAAGATGCCGTGCATCAAGAATGGGTGGCGCATGGCTTCCCTTGGCACTACGCCCTGCCAGATTCCTTCTACCGAGGTATTTCGCGAAACCGAGCGGTATGTGGTCGTGCACCATTGCATCATCAACTCGAGGTCTTGAATGTTCAGCTCCCCGGTGGGAGTAGAAGGGGCAACGGGGTCCATGACGACGCGGTATTCAGCGAAAATCCTGGGGTTCACGTGGGAAGGGGAGGCGGTGCGGGATGGGGGAAGGGTCGGGGTGGTGGAGCGAGACTTGACCCTAGGCCAGACCAAGGAGGTGGAGGAGGGAATATATTGACATATTATGTTGTCGCTGGTGCAATGGGAGCACTGGGGGTGTTCGTTGGGGCACTGCATCCCGGTTCGATTAGCATCTATGAGGGCGACACAGGACTACCAGTCCCGATTTGAAGAACCACAGAAAAGTGGTGTAGTGTAATAATTCAGGGGAGGGGGTGGTGGTGGTGGTGGGAACAAAAAGTAGCAAAGGTCCCAGTCCACAGCAGTAATCAAACAAGCAGATAAAGCTCCACTGATAGGTACATATTTAAAGGTAGGAGGGAGGAGTGGAGGAAGGAGGCAGGGAAGGGAAGGGGATCACTGCATCATTCAGGCATCCAGGCATCCAGGCAATGATGGGGGAGGAGGGAATTGGGGGAAGGGAGAAGGGAAAATAATAGAAGAGAGAAAATTAAAAAAGAGGGAAAATGTAAAGAAGAAAGTAGCAGTAGAAGAAGGGAAAAAGGATGGAAACTTTAGTGGACCAAACAACCAAGAAAATAGCAGGCCAGGTCAGGCAACTTAAGTTAAGCTTCACCGGGACTCAAACCCCAAGAGCACCTACCTTGATTCGCCGGTTCCTGCACTCAAAACAGCCATTCCGCGCCGGGGCTCTGTAAGTGCGCCGTGCAGGCATTGCTGGGGACTTTTTTCTTTCTTAGGGATTATATTATTATTTTTCCCTGTCGTGTTCTTTTGTTCCTTCTGTCCAGGTTCTGGGTAAAGGAGCAGAAGATGCCGGGGAGGGTTGAAGGGAGGGAGGGGGGGGAGGTTTCCCAGCAGGCGCAAGGTGGAAACAGAAGCGTCAAGGATGGAAGGGAGGAGGGGGGATGTTTCATATGAAGTGTAAAAAGAAGGAAAAATAAATATGAAAAACAGTCCCTTAAATCAAACAAGCAAGAAGCCGTGGTCCCCTCCAACTGTTACAGCTCAACTTTCAACAACAACACCTTCTTGGCCGGAGTGGATAGTTGGAGATCCATGAGATTTAATATCCAAACAGACGACCGACTCCCCATGCTTTTTGAAGAGAAGGAGAGAGAGAGGGAGAGAGAGAGAAACTAAAGAGGTTTTGGCCTCTATTCCGGGAGAAGGTTCCAAAACCCGCTCAACGAGACCACCTTCAATTCCACAGCCCACTTTTTCCCTCCACCACCAAAGCACTTTTCCAACAATAATTCCAAAGTTGTCCAAAGCTAGCCGATAGATCGCTGCCCCACTTCCGTTGTCTTTGCACGGAGGCAGTAAGAGTGCGAATCCCCGATGGCATGGATTGGATGGTTTGGATGGAACTGGATGGCTCTGGCCTTCCCCCCAAAGACGAAACCAGTAAATGCGGGCAAAAAAAAAAAAAAGAATTTGTGGTGTTCAATGCAGCGCTACGAAGGGCTCGGCGCCCCAACCGCCGTAGCAACAGAAGGGAAAGAGACAGAGACAGGATGATGCATCATGCGGTCGAATGGGCAAATGGTCATCTTGGTCAACCCTGGATCATCGTTGCCTCTTTCTTTCTGTCTCTTGTCTGTCATGACCCAGCTCGCTGATGACTTGCCATCTTGAGAGGATGATCATTTATTAAAGATGTACGACTTTACAATTCTTGGTTTAAAAAAAAGAAATAAAACTAAGCAAGTACCATGCATGGCCAGTGTTCATCCTACTCTACATGGTATACCGTCTGAGATCTTCCACCTGGGAATGGAAAACGAGAGAGAAAAAGGAAAAAGAGGGTTAACTGTTCACTACTAGATAATACTTACTATCTGATACCAACAGCTCACTAGTACTGATTTAGTCGGGTTTAGTGGTGTGCTTTTCTTCCCCCATCCTTGACATGCCCCACCGGCCACCAGCCCAATTGACCCAATCAGGAATAAGCAGTCACACCCCCTGAAGCATCCCCCCGGTTTATCCTACAATAATCTACTGACTATTAATGGAACTAAAGTGTAGTTTATCCCAGATCTTCCCCCGAAACTGAATAAGAAGCACCGGTCCATCCCGGAACTGATGGACATCCGTTCCGAATGGAGAATAGAGATGGAGGGATGGACATAGAGGCGGGCGGGGGGGAAAGACAAGAACAAGAAAAAAAAAATTGATGCTTAAACCCCGACAAGCCAGCAATGAATCTCTCTCGTCATGCCGTCTTGGGACAAAGCCGGGATCCACACCACATCCACTTGCAGCCAAAAAACCTAAAAGTCAAATCCCCATCTTCGGCTTCTGGCCCTTTGCCTATCGTGGCTTAGTGCTAGGCCCCCATGAACCCTGCTTTTGCTGTTTTGGGTAACTCAGATTCTTGGGGGCTTATCGGTCTTCTCATTGGCCTGCTATCCTCCCGCCTTGCCGGATCTGGCATAAGGGGTGCGGGCCCGTGACTCTCCCGCCGCCCGAGGCTGCCTCAGGCCTGATTCGATGGTTCGTTACTCACCATTGGACTGTTGTTGACTATTGTAGCTACAACTGTACACCTACACTACTACCCTCACTAGACAGCTAGTGTCTCAATACCTCCTTCTTCTCCATCCACGTTGTGTCTCTGTTGCATGGCTTCCGTGTCTCACATCTCCGAATATCGCCTTCGGCTCCAAAATCATGAGACGCTTGACCCAATGATGTCAGCCAAAACTCCAATCCTCTCATAGCTAGCTAGCTATGGTTCGATCACGACCATTTTGAATCAGTCAATCCATCAAGAGATAATACCCCGCTTAAGAGGGGCGAGCCGTTGCCGGTCACGGAGGAGTTACTGATCCTCCCGCTTGTTCTTTTGCTACTTCAAAGAAACTCGATGGAATGAGCACGGTGGCACCATGGCGTAACTTTCCGTGGATGATGGACCCCGGCTGCGACAAAGCCTCTTCCGCAGCCTCTCCCACACCCACGCCCATGCCTCCCACGCCTTCCCAGCAGCATCACACATAGGCATCCCACCAATCGTCCGTGACGTTGCCCTCGCTGTCCAATGATCAAGCTCAGCCCACAGTGCGAGGTGCATGCATCCTACAGCTAGCCATACCTCGGACTAAAAGCCCGACCGTTCCGCCCGGCGCTTTTGCGCCATATCGCGCGTGTGAGTAATCCTCGAGCTCCAGCTGGAATAAACCAGGCTAGCTAGGATCGCGATACCACTATACTAGTCCCATCTACATCTCGGCCGGCGGAGGTAACCGGCCTCACCGTTGGTACCGCGATCATAAAGGCGGCCAGTGGGTCCATCCGATTTTCGCCGGGGGAACGGATTCACCCTAACCGCGCCAACGGGCTAATCTAGGTTGGATCAGAAGAAACGACCGCTGTTGGGGCCAATGCCCTCGACAGCGGGCCTGGCTTAAGCCATGAGTGGATTTCATGTCACAGACCTCTTCACTGAATCTTCTGGTAAGATTTTTCATGCGCCCAGATGCGCCTGAGGGTCGGCCGCTTTGACTCGAATAGGCATGGCGCTAGCAAAATGTCGCGCGCGTTGGATATCGGATTGGACCATACCGGTGAGCAGATGCTGCTGATTAGCCAGCACATCAGATACACCGTCTCCGCAAATCCTTCTCTTCCTGCAAGACGTCATCGTCATTCCCGACTGGGAAAATGCAGACCTTGCTTCTATATGAATCCACTCCATCCCGCAACTTGTCTGTTATCTGGGACCACTCGATGTTAAACGAACTGGCCACTCTACATGACCAACGACGGGACATGGTGCCATGAACCTGTTGGACCTGGCTGCCTATCCGGGATGCTTGTTCCATGCTCGATGGCTTAGCACTGTATCGAGCCCACAGTTGCAGCGCTAGGAGGGGTTGCATGGGCGCTTGACAAGGCATCAGCAAGTTGATTCGTCCAGGATCCTAGGAATACTTCGGTTAGAGAGTGGACATGTTGGGGTATTCGTCAGACCACTTGGGTCAGCTGGGCCCGAGATACGCCGAACCGAAGAAGCAGATGTGTACAGAGTGTGCGACATGGAGGTCACTACGTTTGTTTCTCGACTGGCACAGCATACGGAGTCGCCGTGATGAGTTGAGATGACGCTTTGCCCATAGTGGGGTTTCGGTCTGTCTGAAGACCGGACAGAAGCTATCGACAAATCGAAGGGCGAAGGTCCTTGAAGGAATCGTACGTCTGCATCCGATGCCTCCGCTGACGGATTACTTTCTACGCAGTTTGCTGCGTTATGGAACAGCCTCCAAATTCGCCCCATTTCAATCCCAACCGGGAACTCGGCAATTGCTCAGTAGAATTGGGGCTGGAAGTATACTCGCAACCAGTAGGACCAGAGTTATCCACAAGCTGCAAGCAGACTTCTGATGCGTAGATTTCCTCACAGGACACTACACTACTAAACTTGCTACTACATTGCTTGCCTGACAGCATGCTAGAATGGCACTCACAAATGCAGACCGTGCTCAGGAGTCACAACACAGGCCATCCACTCACTAACCAGAAAGTCTTATCAGCCAGCGATGTTGAACAGCCTATCACATTTCAATATACCTACAATCCGCACACAAAATTCCTTGAATACGTAGCATATAGACGTGTAAGCTACAGCTTCAGCTTGTCCAAAGATACAAAACCTGCATCACAAGCCTGCTGTCAGTCAGAAACGTCATCTGTCAGGCAATAAGACCAATTATTATCGACTCGGCTTGGCAACTATGAATACCTCTTGCTAACTGTGACTGTGACCCGGCAATTATCCATTGCCCCCCGGCATCATCTCCCTAGAAAACCTCTTGTCTACCATGGTGACCTAGATAATGCACCCAACCCACTGCATAGAACATTGAGCCTCAGCCCGTCACTTCTTCTATAAATAAGTAGGTGTATAATTAGTTACTTCTAGTACGTAGTATCTCTGTAGTAGTAGCGTTGATAAGCTGGATTGTGATGTATTATATTTATACTACATGCTATTTATATGTTCGGAAGGCAATCTTAGTAAATTATGACACCACAAAAGTAACATCCATTACAGTATAGTTGTAGCACGGTAACGAATAGTCGTAGACAAATATACGTAATCGCTGACTATATATATAATTACTAGACTACTACCAGTAATAGTGCTAGAGTCCATATGTACATTGTGCATACTTCAATCATTTATGTCTTCAGTTAATATTTGAAGGTGTTTGTTTGTCTAACACCTACTATCCCTATTTATGCGAACATTACCATCAATATATATATATATATATGCACTTAGTCGCGCCAAAGATGCAAATATTCCTGCAAGTGAATCATAGGTCCTATTCCATAGCGAGGGACTATGCATGGATCGATTCCGACAAGTGGCCTCTAATTCCAAATCTGAACTTAATCTAACCTATGTACAATACGCCCAGACTGAAATGTGTATATATATATACCAAACACATTAAGCACTGCAATCAACCCACCCACTGATCCGCCCCCTGCAGCGCCATCAACGCAAAATGACTTCCCAGTGCCGGCCTCGCTCGAAACGCAAAGTACTCACCGGCCTCACCAGTCGTACTATCTTGTACCCAGTAACGGTCCGAGAAGGGTGCATCGTTGAGACCATTAGCAATATAGGCATGGATATCGGAGATGAACATGTCCCTTGCATCATCGGTGACCGTTGCCGCCACGAAGCCCTGCCAGTTCGTTTGGCCCCAGTCGAGGTTAGCGTCGAGGGCTACGCCAGCTGGTTTGCGGACTGTGGGGTAGAAGGCTGTGGTGGCGTTATATGCTTCTTCGGGGAAGAGGCCAAAGGAAAATAAAACGTCCGCGTAGTGGTTGTACGCGAGGAACCAGGAGTCGTTGTCGTACTGGGTGGTGAAGTAGGTTCCATTGGGGTCTGTGCCGAGACGGCCGTTATAGAGGGCGTCAGCGATGGATTTGCCTGCGTCGGTGTAGTTTTGCTGCGAGGTTAGGTGGCCGTAGGAGGCGAGGCCGCTGGCCGCTTTCATGGCGAGGTTGGTTTGGTTTGCGACCTTGCCTAGGGCGTCGTTGAGGGAGAGTTGTGCGTCGGGGTATTTCCCGTTGGTGCTTAGGTATTGAGCGTATTTCTGCAGAAGGGGGGAGTAGGTGCTTGTGATGCTGGTTGTGTTGATTGCGCTTTCGTAGGCGTAGGTCATGATGAGGATGTTTCCGCTCTCTTCGACGGGCATGAACTCTCCCTTGGGGCTGTGGCCGGTGGCGTTGGGGTAGTCCATCCCGATGTCGTGCACGGCAAAGTCGTAGGTGTAGTTGGTTTGGTCCATGTATTCGAATACGGGTTTTAGGAGGAGGCGGATGTAGTCGGAGTTTAGGACGTAGAAGACTGGGAAGGATGCGTAGATGACGTCGACGGTGTTGATGTTTCCATCGCTGGATATCTCTTTGATGAAGGCCATGGTGTCGTTGGTGTTTAGTGTGTCATTTGGGATTGTGAGTTCCATGCCACCGTAGATTTGGCGGAGAGATAACGCAAGTATATCGGAGTAGTTAGTGCCGTATGATGATTCTCCGCCCTTTTGGATGAACTCGTCCATGTTGATTGACTCATTCAGCGCGTCCGAGTAGTCGTCAAGGAAATACGAGACGGCGGATGTAGTGTTTGGGTAGATTGCTCGGTAGTACCCAGTTTGCGTATTACCAAGGTAGTTAATGGTTTGCTCGCGCACATGGCCTATGGCGAAAGTGATCGAAGTAGTCTTCGTAGTCGTTTCGAACTCGTGCGCAAATGCGACAACACCGTCAGATGTCCAGTTTGCGTAAGAATTGCCCAGTGATCCATTGGCCACAAATTGAGAGCGGATCGCGGACAACGGCCCCGAGGCAGAAGAGAGAACGCTTCCATTTTGAGCCCGCGTGGCGTAAACCGTCTGACCCCAAAGCGCTTGCTCTTGAGAATTTTGCGAGAACAAGGCCTCTTCCACGGGACTCAGCTGAAAGACTGAAATTTTGTTGGCTTCTGAGAAAGCCCAAGTGGCGTTATCCGATTGACCGGTCCAGGACGAATCAATGTCAGAGTAGATCTGGACAGAGTCGTTGCTCGATATCTCACTAACTGATATCGTGAGGTAAGAAAAGGGCAGAGACTGGCGTAGATAATTTGTTGGGGAGACAGGCGAAAAGAAGTCGAGAGTGAAATTTTTCGACCCGGCTGTCAGCAGAAAAGTGCTGTGCGTCGAGGTGAAATTGCCATCTCTGACAGTAGCAGCCTGGATGCCTTCTAATTTCTCACAGACCCCGAAAAGACTGTACGCCTGACCATTTACACGAGCAATGACAGACCAGGTAAGGTTATTCCCAAACCAAAACTGAGGTGAACTAGAGGGAAGGCTCGATGCCTGATATCCGGGAAGCCAAGCTGTACACGTCAGTATGCGTTTATTCTACATGATCAAGCAATGCGAATCAAGATTGAACTTCAAAGCAGAGGCAGGACTAACAAGACAGATAGGGACTGCGAACAGCAAGTGGATAAGCCGGCGGCAGGAGAGGAGCAAAAGAAGCAGACACGACAACTTGAAGAAGAGCGCATCCCCAGGCCCATAGGAGACATGATATCCCAAAGCACCTCATGATCTACAAGAAGAAAGGTAGAAAGAGATGAAGGGGTATGTGCTATACAATAATGTCGCCGCTCACCTGTGGCAGCATGCGGACCCCTCTAGGGAGTCCGGCATTCAAGTACTCTGCCCTTCATTGTCTCCTACTGCACAATTCCATTCAGGAACATACCTTTTTTGGAAGAAGTGGGTCATAAGATTTGCTGCTCTGGTAGGCTTCATTTCTAGCAAGAAAGTGATAAGGGCGCGGTACCAATTCATGGCTAGCATTCGTTCTCGTCCATAGTTCGGCATGTAAAGGCAGCAGCCCAGCCAAGCGGCGACCAATCGTGGTGGTGGACCTGAGACTTACCCCCGGGTCCTGAATCCCATTATTCAGCCCTGAGACGGGCCCGGCAGATCGCATCTTTCAGATCGTAGATCATCGTCGACGTTTCCTGTCAATCTGTCGCCGTCCTCGGCTCGCTCTAGGCCGGCCCCGGGCTCTCACATTCTTCAAACAAGGTCACTACCCCCGCATTCCAGATGTTCACAACCCGCTTCAATCCTGTTTCCAGGCCAAGTCACTCACTAAAGTATACCTTTTCTGCCGATTTTTCTCCTTGCAAGTTGGAAGACCCTTGAGATGGTTTTCCATGGCTGATCGTGGGGCTCCCGGGTCGGGTTCATCGCTGGGTCGTCCCTGATTCCACGATCTACCCATCCTCGGAATAGTGAAGCGGGAGATAAATCTTCTCGAAGGCCCAGGGCTGCATTCAAAGGGGTCCAGGGGCACATTCAGGGCGAGATATGGCCGAGTAGAGACTGGGCTGCAGAGGAGCTTCCCAAGGGAGCATTCTGCCAAGGTTTGTCCTCAGAAGCAAACCTTGTCTTCTGCATCGGCACGCGGGGCACGTGTGATCCTATGTTATGCTTAAGTTTGTGAGATAGCAGCCCTGCAGAGTCTCGTTAGCACCAAAGCCTATTCCTGCAACTTCATCGTCCGCCTTCCTTCCAAGGGTCGAACGACAAAATGTAGCTTCTGTCGACGCCTTTCGTTTCTACGCAACAATGCAACCCCTGGCACTTTGATGAAGCCAAGTATTTGCCACCATGGAACCGCCTGAATGTGGCTACAAGCCATTGGTATCAGACTTGCGGAGGGGTTTGGAAGACCTTTTGTCACCGCAGGGTTGGTCTGGCCCCGACCCTGGATACGTATGATCCCTTGCCTGTGACACCAGGGAATGTTTACGGGATATGGGTAAAAGGAAGCGACCGAGGGGCTTACCACATCCTGGCCAGGTCATCACAGGCTGCCGGATAGCTGCAGGCCATGATGGGCATTCCTCGTTGCTTGATCCATCGCGTTGCAGGAGTCAGTGACTTCATTCTTAGTCACGGTTCAACCATGTCCAAGAAACCGGTTGATGTTCTCAGTCAAATAGGCTCTTATTTTCGTAGCGCTATTAGAGTTTCGATTGAAGTGAGAGCTTATGCAGATCCGGCGAGCAGGAAGAGGATGACAAGCTGTCGCTCAAGAAAAGTACATGCATATAGTTTGGTTAGTAGTGTGAGCTTTGGTCCATGTGTCACACGGGTAAGGCGTAAGGATCTTCCAAACGCCTGCCTTCTATGGATTCTCTTGCAGGTGAGTTTGACTGCCTCTGATTGAGGAGCAAAACGTCTGTCTGTGCGAGAAAAGTGGTTTGATGACTAGGGAGTCACATCCAAAAAGCATTTCCTCTTCTACTATGTTATCCGTACTCGTAGTAGCTGAAGAGCTTTTTGGTCTTGTCACTTATGTCGGCAACTTCATAGAACTGTATAATTCCGCAGTGGCAGTGGTTTCCACACTGTCTGTAATATCTCATTCGATCAGAGTATGTGTAATGCCTTAAGGTATGCCATGCAGGTAAGACGGAGCATGACCGGCCGGCAGTACTGCGGATAAATCAACCGCATCCCCATCCAGTAAGTGCAGTGAGTGATTGTTAGTAGTGGCAAGTGGCCGGGTACCAATGCAGCGTCTGTTTACCGATCCACCGGTGCCCGCCAGCGATGAAAAAATTGCTGGATTTTATCTAGACTACCACTAGACTCCTAGCGAGGGCCTTTTCCAGTTCCCCGGCAGCGCATTGGTGCAACAACCACGGTGATCATCCGTCTACGGGCGATTGGTTTGCTTGCCCCTCCAATCACCATCCCACCTCCCCTGAGTCAGGGAATGTAAGACAGTGAGATCTAAATCGATTATTGGTTGAATGTAAAGTCTCCAGAGGGCAGAGAGATCGGAAGTCTCACACAGTTCAGCTCCCAGCGGCACAAAGTGGATGGTGCACCGGTGGGAATTTTTCCTGCCGATGGGGTCCGTCTTGACTGAAAACGGAACGGTTGGAGTTTGATTCCCTGCCGCCTTAACCCGGAACGGCGACCGCAGCCCTTCAATCCGACCCAATGCTGAGGATCCCTGCGCTGGATTGGTTGGAACGAGAGAAAGTGCTCCACACTTGTGCACATCTCGGCCGGGGTGGTTGCCGCAGTTGGCCAATTTAGGTAGAGGAGACTCCAGCTGGCTGCATCTTCTTTTCGTTGCATTTATGCGCTTGACCCACTCCTATGGTGACAGCAAAGGCCTGCTGAATGAAATTTGTAAATAGAATTTTTGGGGAGGATGGAACACAAGCTGAACTGTGATGGGGTACCATTCGTTACGATGACGAGATGGAGGGGGAAAACTTTTATTTTGTGATCTTTTTTTTTTTTCTCACTTTATTGGCAGGAAATACAGACAAAGGAGAGTCAGAAAAAAAGATAAACAGCAATCAAAAGGAAAACATGGGGGAGAAATAGATGGATCACATAGAAAAAGAAAGGTAAATAGCAAACAAAGGACAGGTGCGGGAAAATCCAGCGGGAGTTGCTGGGCCAAAACAGCAGTTGCTGAACCCGACCGTCTGGGTCGCGAGGTTCCTGCGCCGGGTTGATCGCCTCCTGATCCGTGACGCTACGACCGAAGGAAGGAAAGAGGGAAAAGAGAGCAGGGCATGCCCCGAGGGTTGGCCAGCTAAGCCCGTTAGCCCAATCCTTCTGCTCCCCAAATCCCAGGAATTGCCGGGGCTTGCTGGCACTGCTGGGGACTGGCTCCCTCTCTAACCTCCCCCCGGAGATCCGTGGGCTGGCGTGCCTTTTCCCTTCAATTTGCGTTCTATGGAAATCCTTCCAGCAGCAGACAACTGACTCCATACTTTAAGATTGGAATAGTATGTTTCCCTGGATATACTAGAATAGTTTATTGTTTATCATATTTCATTGTATGGAATCGACAAGACCAGCGCCCGTAGGATAATGTATCTAGTAGTAATGAGTAGCTACTCATAGGCGATCAGACGTAGAGACCGCAAATGAGCTCATCTCCTCCCATACTTAAGGTTCTGGACCTCGAGAGCTGCCCGTGACTCGCGCACCTTCTGCTTTCGTCCCCTCCTCGGCTGCTCCAATCTTTTCTGCTGTCCGCACCAACTCTCCGTCTTCCCTCTTCACTTTCAGCCTGCCCTCTTTCGCAACCCCGCCTTCTTTTTTTTTTTTTTACCCTTCTCTTCCTCCTCCTTCCTCCAGTCTATCTTCTGGTCTGTCTTGTTCTAGCTTCGGGTTGGCTTGCAGCTTCAAAGCCGCCAATCATTTAGCACCGCGGGTTCCTGTCCTTGTGCTACCTCCCAGGATAAAGCGGTCATCATTGGGGAACCTGTGGTCCTGTGGCCGATCCGTGGAAGGCTCAGCGATTCTCCCGCATTTTGACAGCTCGTCGCTGCGCCTTACCCAGAGTTCAATCCTCACTTCACGAGCTTCACGTCTACACTGTGCACCATCCGCCGAACGACGCGTGTACATTCATCCGGTTCTTCTTTTGCAGGACTGCCATAGGAGCCTGTGTTGTTGCCCGAATCTTGACTCGTGATAGATTGGATTTGCCTGTCGCGAGTCTTGCTACTGCAATTTCGGGTATTCACCCCGCCACCACTTCCTCGACTTTCGCCTTCTTCAACGTGATGAGCGTCATGTACGCTCTGGACGATCGCACACATACCGCACCGCCTCCCCCGCCGCCGCTCTCGATGGATCGTATTCCACCCCCCTCCTCCTCATACCCCACTCCGGGCTCTGCAGGCGTCGCGTCTGCCGGCGGGTTACCGCCGTCGAGCCATCTAGCGCCGCTCTCCACCGTTCATGAAAATCGCATATGGTCTTTGCAGGTGGTTCAGCAGCCGGTTCGCGCCCGGATGTGTGGCTTCGGCGATAAGGTTGGTCTTGCTGTGCCGTCCTTGCACTGCTCTTGTTCCCGCCTTTTCTATAGGTAGCTGACTGTAGCTCAGGATCGCCGGCCAATTACACCTCCTCCCTGCATTCGCCTGGTTGTCCGAGATGCTCAGACTGAAAAGGAGATTGACATTAAGTATGACGGCATCAAAAATCGCTCTGCCGAGGAATGGTGCTGACCGGCCACTCTAGTGAGATCGATACGTCCTTCTACGTGCTCATGGTCGACCTGTGGAACGCGGAGGGAACCAGCGAGGTGAACCTCGTCAAGCACTCCGCCACTTCTCCCTCGATATCGACGGCCATGTCCTCCTCATACCCCCCTCCGCCGCATAGTGTCTCGCCTTCCTACCCGCCCTACGCGCAGAATGCCTACGGCCAGCCTGTTGGATACCCTCAGATGAACAATTACTACGGTGGCAACCCCCAACTACAGTACCAGAACCCGTATGGAGCGAATCCACAAGCACCCTATTATCAGCCTTACTATGCCGGCGGTCACATGCCCCAGGCCAATATTTCCCCGGCGCAGCCTGTGGCCTCTGGCCCTGGCGGCATGTTCACGCGGAACCTCATCGGCAGTCTCAGCGCCAGCGCGTTCCGCTTGACCGACCCGGAAAACAAGATCGGAGTGTGGTTTATCCTGCAGGACCTGAGTGTCCGCACAGAGGGCTCTTTCCGGTGAGTGCAGTTCTCTGAGCTGGTCGCGTTTGGTGATGTACTGATTTATTCCTGCAGTCTGAAAATGAGCTTTGTGAATGTGGGCAGCCAGTCCGGCGATTCCCCCAACGGGGTATCTGTGATCAACCACGGCTCTGCGCCAGTGTTGGCCTCTGTGTTCTCGGAGCCATTCCACGTGTTTTCGGCCAAGAAGTTCCCCGGTGTCATTGAGAGCACACCGTTGAGCAAATGCTTCGCCCTCCAAGGGATCAAGATTCCCATCCGCAAGGACGGAGTGAAGGGATCTCGCGGGCGCCACAGCGACGGAGACGACGCCGGGGACGATTACGACTAAACCAGGGTTATTTGCTAATTCGGGATACCAATGGGCGATGTTTTGTGTTTTTGGTTGCTTTTTGCTCACGTTCTTATATATATATATATATACGGGTCAGGTTGGACGCTGGGTTTGGTTCTGCGGTGTTGGTGATGGGCTCTTTCAAACAGGATGGGGGTGTATTGTTACTATCTGGGCCGGTGTCACAGGGTTCTTCGGGTTCTCCTGAATTTTCTTTCTTCTTGCTACGTGATATTCGATTAATGCTGCCTTGCTTTCGATTCGTGTGACTTGCTTTATATGAAGTGATGGTTTCGCGCCTGGTTCTACGGTCCCGCGCACAACGGTTAGAGGCGAAAATGATCTCATCTTATGGGGACTGTACTGTATTGCATTACCCTAGGAGAATGTATGAATGATAGCCTGATAGCAGTAATCCATAGCTTTTGTGCTCTGTTCGCAATTCCATCAACTCCGACTAGGTTAAAGTTCTGTCCGGACAAGCGCAGAGACTCGACTAGAACTCGACCGGACGAACCATCGTTCAACCGAGACAGGTCGCCTCTTCCAGCTCGTATTGACTGTGGCGGTGCGCAACGTCGACGATGACGTCGATCGACCAGGTGCTTCCATGGGAGGAGTGGCGGGCGTCGGAAAAAGGCCGCTTCGAAGCTCAATCTTCGGCAGAAAACCTTCGCAAGGGGATGATGCAGGGTTTGAAGTAAGTAAGATCGGGCTTGTCCGACTGACCAAAAAGGAGCGAGAGAGTAAATCAGAATTGGGGCATCGGACCTTCGGGTTACGGGACCCTGACTACTTTGTCCATAGCAAGCTGCTAGTTTACTGGACGGACCCTGTTTTCCCCTAAACTTCTGACATTGATTGGGGATGATCGTCGTTCTAAAATTAAACGGTCGCCAACGGGGCCCATCATCAATCTTTTCCCATTCTACTTTGTTTCTTCCCTTGCCGTGTCTCGGAGCAACAACTGAGACAGGTCGTTTAAACCGGCACGTCATGAGCTCATGCGATTCCCCAGTTTTTTCCCTTCAATTGAGCCACTCTGCATGGCTGATGAGGGTCTTCGTCTCCATGCGGTTTCACTTTAGTGCACTGGACTAGCAGATAGTAAGTGGGAGACCTCTTCTGATAGGTTTAGGGTCTGTTATTCTCTGACGGCTCGTGCCGCTTTTTTCCTTGCGGTTTTTGGGCTGTGTGGCAGGGTTGAGATGGGGATGGATTGCTGGAGGCGATGTTGTTGCTATCCATAGTGCACCGTAGTGCCTTCGTTGTGTTTACTTGTGATGGAGAGGGCCCTTGCTCGACTGACCATTCTGATTCTTTCCCACTCCACTTAGTTTCTCTAATAGTAACCGGTTGACCTCATAGTCTGTTCATTGTAGGATATAAATACGGGCTTTAGATCCTTGCTTTGTTTCTTTTTTTTTCCCTTCAGTACTACTCCAAAGACATTCGTTCTCAATCACTTGATAACTTTCATATATCTACCATACCATCTACTTCTCTCTAATCACCATCATCTTTAATCAACTACCATCAAAATGAAGTTCACCCTCGCTTCCACCCTCCTCCCCCTCCTGGCCACCGCTGCCCCCGCCCAGCAGCGCGACTCCTCCAACTCCACTGCTTCTTCTACTCCCTCTACCTTCGGCATCATGTCCGCCCGCTCTGGCTCCCCCATCCATCTCCTCCCCTTGAACGCCAACAGCGGTGGTTTCTACCTGGGCGGAAACACCTCTTCTTACTGCCCTATCTCTTCCGGCTGCCCTGCCGGTACTGAGACCGTTTTTGCTGGTGATGGCTCTGCTTTGGTACGTCCCTCGCCCACACCCGTCCCCTCAACCCCTCACACATAAAATAGTATACGTTATATACTAATGAAATATTGAATAAACAGGACGTCGAAGTTCCCGGCGGCCAACAAGTCTACGTCGCACCCAGCGGTGCCCTGACCTTCACCGTCCCCCACTCGGCCTACATCCCCGCTGGCTCCTCCACCGGCCCCTTCAAGTACACCCCCGGCAAGCCCTTCGGCACCTGGACTTTCACCGGTGCCGGTGCCACGGGCTTCATGGCTTGCCCTGACGAGGGTAACAAGTGGCAGGTGTTTGCTGCTACGCAGAATGCTACCGTGCCTAGTGGCAATGTTGCTGATTGCTTGGGTTTTGATGCCCTTGCTGTGGCTACTAATGGTTCGGTCGCTGCTTGGGAGTACATCTAAATAAGTACTTTCTGGTATGTTAGGATGATAGTGGGGTAGAAGGGGGATGGGGTATATAGTTGTGGTGTGTATAGAGTGAAATAGTAGGGTTTGTGGTTGTGGTTGTGGTTGTAGTTATTAATGGTTGTTGTGTACATGTATGTTAATGTCATTAATGATTTGTTGATGTTGTGATTGATTGGTTATTTATTGTAATATTAGTTTTAGTTATTTGGTGGGAGTAGTTTTATTATGATATTGTCAGTCATAACAGTGTCATGCGTTCTATAGTATAGTACGAAGTATAAGTGTAGAGAGAGCTATGGGTATGGATGGTATGGTTAATTCCTCCATATCCGCACCGCCTTGTCCTTCCCCCCACTTCCCACCTTCTGTCCATCCGGACTCCAATCTACCGCAAACACCTCGTCCTTGTGGCCCGGCAGATCCTCTTGCAACTTGCCTGTCCGCACATTCCATACTTTCAGTGTCGTGTCCTTGGACGACGAGACTAGCAGCCGGGAATCAGCCGAGAAGCAGCACTGGTACACGGCGCCCACGTGGCCGCGGAGTGTCGTGATGAATCTATCGTCTATTTAGTTTTTGTATATCATTTTTGAGACAGTGGTAAACTCACTTTCCGTCACGCGCGTTCCATAGCTTAACGTGGTTGTCGAAGCCCGCCGACGCAATGTACGCCATGTCTGGCGAGAACGTCACATGGTTCACCTCCTTTTGGTGTCCCAACAGTCGCGCAACGGGCTTGCTGGAATTCCCAGGTTCCCACAGGTACATGGTGAAGTCGTCACTTGCGGACACAAGCTTCTCGACAATCTTGTTGTTGATGGTCGCCGCCTGCTCGAACCGCTGCTTGGCTGCCGCGATCTTCTCGGCATCCGCCTGCGGCACCTTGCCGGTGTGGTCGTGGTAGGCAGTGCGGAGGACAAAGTCGGTAGACAGGGCCAAATGGTTAACGCGGTGGGCGTGCGCAGAAAGGGTCTGGATCAGGGTGCCGTTCTGAGCATTCCACACCTTGATAGTCTTGTCGTGAGATGCAGTGTAGATATTACCGGTTCCGCCCCAGCGGACGCAGGTCACCGAGCCCTTGTGCCCGGTGAGGACGGTGTCGATGCGCTTCGAGACCACGTCCCATATGCGGACGGTTGAATCCTTGGAAGCGGACGCCAGGCGCGGCCGACCGGGCTGCTGAAGATGGTATGGTTCCCACGCCAGACTGGTGATCCATTTGGCGTGTCCCTTCAAAGGCGCGCCCAATGGGGTGCCCTTCTTTGCGTCCCAGAAGCGCACGGTGTTGTCCATGCTTCCTGTCGCAATCATGGCGCCGTTAGGCGAGTAGCTGACCGCCAGCACCCAGCTGGTATGTCCCTTCAAGGTGTGCAGAGGCGTTCCAGTGTCGCAATCCCAGACGCGAGCTGTAGAGTCACCGCTGCCGGTAACCATTGTGGATGAGTTGACAGGGGAGAAGCTGGTCGCAAGAATTGCCTCGCCGTGTCCAGCGATCGAGGCGGAGCATCGCGAGACGGCTTTGACGCGGAACACAGCCTGGGGAGTGAAGTAGAGATGTACAGTATCTTCGGTCGTCTTCAGGCCGGGCTTCAAGAGGGAGTGATACAGGTCGGAGAGGATATCGATTGTCTGGTCGTTCTTGTCTTTGCCATCGGATTGGTATGTGAACCGGTACGGTACTCGCTCATCTTCTTCCTACGGCGCAAAAATCAATTAGTCTCTGAAGGGTGGTGAACTAAGCCTCGCTGCATACCTACATTGCCTTGTAACGTATTCAACAGCGTCTCGAGATTCTTCACACTGGCATCAGCGACTGGAACGGACACCGCCGGCCCGGTCGCAGATCCCGTCGCCTGGTCGAAGAATTGCACACGAATGCTACCCAGATTCTCTGGGATACTCTGGATCTCCTGCTGCTGACGGGCCCGCTCAGCGGTCTCCGTCCTCTGACGCTTCGACGGGGGAGGTAGAAGAGTCGCCATTGTGCCGCTCTTTGTTGGATGGTTTTTGTTCGTTGAAGATTTTCGCCGAAAAAAAGATAAAAGATAGCCGTCGCTATCGCGGGGAGTCTATCGCCGCTAGTCCGCTTTCGGACGGCAGCTCTACTATATCCTGCACCATTCTCTACTATATCCTGCTGCTCTTTTCCTGACCACCAATACGCAAAATGTCGGCTTCATTTGTTCGGAGTTCCTCCATTGGAGCTACTAGCTCTGTTGCTCCATTTGCTAGAACCAGCACATTCCCCAGAACTACGCCGAGGCCGACGACAACGGCAACAAGCGTTGCATCCCAGGACATCATCTGTGCCGTTAGTGAGTCCAGAGGCATATCCTCAACGGTTGGTCTTGCATTTGTCAATCTAGCTACTGCAGAGACAGTTCTGTGTCAGATATGCGATAGCCAGACGTACGTCAAAACGGTCACGAAAATAGGGGTATTCGAACCGACTGAGATTCTCTTCGCAACCTCTGCCAAAGAATCCAAATTGTTCTACATCATACAAGAAAATATCCAAGATACTACGTTTACCTTTATAGATCGCAGGTTCTGGTCGGAGAGAGCTGGTCATGATTATGTAGACCGACTCGCCTTTTCCGGGGATGTCGAACCCATCAAGATCGTCCTGGGAGGAAACTATTATGCTGCTTGCTGCTTTGCTGCGGTGAGCACTACAACCGTCTGGCTGATCCGGCTAATTATTGTAGGTCTTAAAGTATGTCGAGCTGGAGCTGAACAGAACCTTTACCTGTCACTCGCTTCGTATCAGGTTCGAGCCCTCTCAGGGATCCATGTTAATTGATCTATCCACCATTGTCTCCTTGGAGTTGATTCAGAATATACACAATGCGAAGTCGAAGGATAGTCTCTACGGACTGCTCAATGAGACCCTGACACCTATGGGTGCAAGGCTTCTCAGAGCCAACATTCTTCAGCCTTCAACAGAAGAACCCAAGCTGCAAGCACGATATAACGCTGTCGAGGATCTGTCTACAAAGGAAGACATGTTTGTCTCGGTGAGACAAGGTTCGCCTATAATCCCGCTATATACGACTTAGTCTAACCATATAAAACGTAGCTCTCAAGGGCTTTGTTGATGCGGACAAGGTCCTTACTTCTGTACGTGGATTCGACCGTTTCTGATAGCTTAGCTGACGATCCAGCTTATCCTTGTGCCCAACAAACGTGCCTTCCAACATGTTGAGCAGTCTGTCAACAATGTCATAATGGTCAAGACATATGTTGGGGCAATCAACTCGGTTTACAAGGCACTTACGGCAGCTCAGAGCAGTCTTTTAACAACCATAAGAGAAGTAATTATATGCTGGCACTGTCCTAATATAGCTAACAACTATACAGCTATGTGCCCCGGCGGGCCACCGGGCTGTTCAGCAGATGATTGAAGAAACCCTCAACGAGCATGTTATATACCAAACCCGGCCACTTGATCTCCGAAATCAGCGCATCTACTGTGTCCGGGTAAGTCCCATGTGCAAGTTCCTCTGCAAGCCTGACATAGTTTCTTCAGGCTGGAGTAAACAGCCTCCTCGACGTCGCGCGACAGACATACAAAGAAGCTAATACAGATGCCGCTGATCTGGTAGCAGAGCTAGCAGGTCTGTACATTGCGTCTGAAGCTGCTCATAGCTAATTTAGACAGAAACGCACAGTATAGCCCTTGACCTGAAGTTCGACAGAGCTCGCCAATACTACATTAGTCTCCCAGCTACAGCAATCGAATCCTTGCCAGATGTCTTCATCAACGTCTATCGCAAAAAGAACCGTATAGAGTGTCAAACGCTAGACCTCGTCAAGCTCAATCAGAAGATCACAGATGCACACAATGAAGTCATCAACATGAGCGACGAAACCGTGCAGGAACTGATCCACGATATCTGCTCAGAGATTTCAGGGCTCTTCAAAGTAAGCGAAGCCATCGCCATGCTTGACATGCTAGCAGCATTTGCCCAATTAGCAACATCGCACGACTACATCCGGCCTGAACTGACAGACACTCTCGCAATCAAATCCGGACGCCATCCGATCCGCGAGAAGATACACACGAAGAAATTCATTCCCAATGATGCCTACGCAACGCAACAGTCCCGCTTCCAGATCATCACAGGCTGCAACATGAGCGGAAAATCAACCTACATCCGCGCCCTAGCGCTGATGACCGTAATGGCACAAATAGGCTGTTTCATCCCAGCAGAATACGCATCATTTCCCATCGTCCACCAACTATTCGCACGTGTCTCCACATCCGACGACCTCGAAGCAAACGTATCAACTTTCGCCGCCGAAATGCGCGAAATGGCCTTCATCCTCCGCAACATCGAACCGCGCAGCATGGTCATCGTCGACGAACTAGGTCGCGGCACCAGCACAACCGACGGCCTCGCCATCGCCATCGCCATCGCAGAAGCTCTCGTAGAAAGCCACGCATTAGTCTGGTTCGTGACCCATTTTCGGGATCTCGCACTGATAATGGGCGAGCGCAATGGGGTCGTGAGCCTCCATCTTGCAGCCGAAGTATCCCCCGATGCTTCAAAGATGACCATGCTCTACAAGATAGCCGAAGGCCCCGATACGAACCGATTCTACGGCCTCGCCCTTGCAAAACTCGTAGATCTCCCCCCAGGTGTCCTCGAAACCGCCCAGCAGGTATCAGAGAAACTCAACCAGCTCGCTAAACGCCGACACAGCAAGTCCAAAGCCCTGGCAGTGACTCGTAGAAGGAATCTGATCCTCTCACTGAAAGAACAACTCCTTCTAGTCCGCAACGGAACCATGGAAGGCGAGACCCTTCGGAAATGGTTGAAGCGACTGCAGGATGACTTCGCCTTGAGTATGGCTGCTATTGACGAGGATGCGGCCTGTGCCAGCGACGAAGATGCACCGGTACCCAGGGAAATGTATGAGGACACTAGTTCTACCGGGAACCTTCTCTTCGATGATGATGAAGGACTAGAGGTCCATCATAGCTCTGAACTTGGAGAATCTGTGGCGCAAGATGCTGGAAATCAGCTCGACATTTCTGAGTCAGAGGACCCGCTCAACGACTCTAGTTATTGTATATCACGACCATTCGCTCCTCCCTCGGACGTCTCTGAAGGGGATATAGATGAATTTGCCGCGTCACCTTCTCAGCATGACGGAGATGATTCTACAGCTGACGATCAAGATACCGCTTCCTCCATGATTGATGAATCCTGATCCGCTCATCTCCAATCAAACGAAGTATGACTCTAACCGTATTGTATTGCATTTGTTTTTTACATCCCCATATTCCAACCCCAGACTGAAATGTACCTATCTCCACCCGCCCCCTACATCAACGGAAAGGAAATGAAAAAAAAAAAAAAAAAGAAACCATCCCACTAGCTTTTATTTACCTCACGAAAGCAACTCTAGAAGTAAAAGACCATATTCGCTCAAATACAAGCTGAACAAGCAACGACATCATCAACAAACGTAGGACCCAGAACCGACGATGCATAGACACAAACCCACATCATATGTGTGGGGCGAAAGAAAAGTAAATATAGAGGGAAAGAAACAGTACAGTGGTGTGGTATGCATCGTCATAATCAGCCGAAGTGGAACAGAGTCTGCTTCCCCTTCTTGTTCTTGCCCTTCTTGCCTCCGGCAGGGAACTCGGGGAAGTCATCCTCCGCATTGGACGAGCTAGCGCCGGGGTCGTTCCGAGAAGCCCAGGCGTTCGCGGTTGGCTTGTTACGGTCTTCCCAGCGGACGGTGCCGCGAGTCAGACCTGCCATGAGGACGTTGGGCTTGGGAGCAGCAGGGAGAGCAGGGAAGGCTTCGGAGCTGGTGGCGTTGACTGGGCGGGCCGGGGCGCGCGAGGCGGAGCGGGAAGAGGTGGCGCTGCTGAAGGCAGAGGTAGGGGCTGAGGGAGCTGCAGCGGCGGCGGCGGCGCCCCAGGGGGTAGTGGCGGCGGGCTTGGAGGTTCGGGGGATAGAGCGGGCGGTGGTCGAGGAGAGAGGAGGGAAGGGGTTGGCGGCGGAGGAAGAGGTGGATGAAGAAGGCATGGCGCCGCTTCTGCCGACGTAGGAACGGGAAGACTGGGCTGTTGAGGATTTGAGGCGCAGGACACGCTTTCCACCCACTCCGCTGCCGTTCACGGTTCCTGGGGACATGCCGGGGAGCATACCGCCGGGGCCGGGCAGAGCTGGGTAGTCTTCATTAATGGCACGCCAATCGTTCCAGGCTTTGAGGAGCGCGTTGCGCTGGCCTTCGTCTTCGTAAATCTCCGCGAGCTCTTTGATGAGTTTGCCCAATTCGGTGCTGGAGGTATCGAAGAGTGAGAAGAAGGCGTCGATGAGTTCAGTGGCGGAAATGGAGGAGGTGCGGTAGCTGGAAACCCGGGCACGGAATTCCTTGAGCTTGTTCTGGTCGTTGCCTAGGAGGTTCGAGGCTCTTTCAACGACGGCTGCATGGCGGAGACGGCGGGCTTTTTCTTGAGGAGTAACGGAGGCCGAGTCTGCGCTGAGATTGAGATTCTCCATCTCGGCAACTGGAGTGGATGCGGTAGGGGTCTGGGCGGGTGTAGGACGAGCCGGAGCACGCACAGGCTGAGTGTCGTTGCGTGTTAGTTGGCCGCCGAAGCTGCGGGTCGAGACGGATTGGGCACTCTGGATGGCCATTTGGCGTTGATACGCAACCTCGTCTCTTCTCAAGGGCTGAGCGCTGGAGACAGGCAGAGGCTCCGCGTTGGGATCGCGTCCACGACCAGCACCCCGACGCTGGCGTTGAGGTTGGTAAGGAGTTCTGTAATCAAAGGTTGACAAGTCAACGGTGCGAGCGTCGCGTCTGGCGTCCTTAGATAGGCCGTTGGGATGGCATTCAAGTTGATGTGCCTTGAGATCCATCTGGGACTCGAAGACAACGAACTTCTTTTCCAGACACTCACGGTCGAGACAGAGGAAGTGATCCTTCTGGAAGTGGTCTTCGAGAGCGTTGTAGTCGATGTAGTACTGTTGCTGGCGGCCGCCGGAGCGACGGTCACAAATGTGGCATCTTTCGTGACGGTCACGACAATGTGCGTATAATTCGTCATCGCCATAAAACCGTTGCCGGCAGAAACCACACTCAGGATGACCTCTGAATCCACTCTGGTCTATGGCACCAGGCACGTCATCTCCATGCTTCTCGTGTTTGCGCAACTCTGCACTGGTGAAAAGCTCATGTTCATGCGTGAACACTTTCTTGTTTCGCGTGCAAAGATCACTAGAACATTGGCAATCAGTATGCGCCTGCACAGCTGATCACATCTAACAGTAAGAGGAACTTACCACATCACCCTGCCATGCTTGCTTTTAACGTGACGATGCAGGTCAGGCCATCCCAAGCAAGCTACATCACAACCTCTATCCGGGCAATTGTACCGCAACAGCAGTACTGTGTCTTCGAAGATATCGTTGTTCTCGTACTTGATCCCTAGGTTTTCGTCCATCTGCGAGAAATCGGAGTCCTTGAAATCCTCATAGCGCTTGGCATGGTCATCCGTGAAGATAACATAGTTGGATTCCGTCTAGTCCAAAGCAAATGTCAGCGCAAAGCCACGGCCAAGACCAAAAACGATGACCAAACGAATCACATACTCGACAATGAGCACAAGCTTTATTCTTATACAAGGCCCTCAATCTCAGCGCACAAATATGACAAGTCCGGTGATTACACGGCGAGACCGAGGTGTGGTCGACCTTCGAAGCACAAATGAAGCAGATTTCGCCGTCATCGTCATCATCAGACTCTTCTGTCGTGACAGGCTGCTTCCCCTTGCCTTCTAATACTGTCTGAACATTCGCACCACCCTGTCCACCCTCGGCAGAAGCCTCCGACTTGTTCCCCGAGCGATTCTGCTTGTCTCGACCTCCTCCGCCGCCTCCGCGACGGGGTCCCTGGCCCCTAGATCTTGCACCCCTTCCAGCGCCATCATGAGAATGGTGATGGTGACCATCGGTTTGTCCCGGTTGGCGAGCAGCTCCAAAGCCTCCTCCGCGGCCTCGTCGACGGCCGCCCCGGCCTTGGCCTTGCGCTCCGGGAGCTTGGGCGGGCTGGGATTCGGACATTGGGAACGTGGACAGATTGAGGGGCGATTACTCGAAGTGATCAGCGAGGATGATGTTTGGGGGACAGTGCCCAGAATTTGCTCTCTTAGGAGGAGAAGCGCGTCGCGCTTTGGTGAGTCTGTGCGACCAGACAGCGAATTTCGGCGGAGGGGTGATAAGCCGGCGTTGCTGTGGAGGGACCAGCTTTCACGTTACGAGCGGCGGCGGGCAAAAAAGTTGGATCGGCGGCATGCTTAGTGAGCATCGCTGTCCACTTTCTCTCCCCGACTTATTTAATTTTATTAATTGCGTTATGCCCGGTAGGGGGGGCACATAGGTAATTAATTTACTGGTGAATTCAATCCAGTTACTGATATGACTCATTTTGACTCATTATTGCTCATGCAACTACAAGGCAGATCATATGTATGGCTTAGCCATGGGATGCATGCATATTACTAGCCCCTTCGGCTACAACTGTACTGGCTGCTCGTGCGATAACTGAGAATGTATCATGCAATGACGCGATGCGATGTATGTAGCCAAATCAATAAGCAAATACGATCTCTAGGTAGCAACATCCATCGCGCCTGTCCACAAGGCAGCACCAACTCCCGCTGGAGAGAAAAGCAGGTCAACACAAGGAAAGATAAGGCAATCATTCGCCAATGAGAGTAGCAACAAGTGCGAAAAAATATCAATATGAGAAGCAAATAATAAAGTCTTGGAGCAAAATGAAAGAGAGTTAGCGCCTGGGTTCCAAATGCTGTGTAGTAAGCAAAAGTCGGGGAATCGTTAAGGCAACGACTTGGTCGCTGCGATTGCCTTGTCCGGAAGGCAAGAGTTCGCGTCTAGATACCAAAGGTTATTCATCGGGACTGTACAAATTCTGGCTGAGGATTTTAGTCATCGTGAACATGTGTATGCGATCTTGCTTGAATACGGCACGCATCGCGTCGTCACAGCGAATTTGTCGCCGGTCATTGGGATCCTGAAGATCATGCTCGTGGATGTATTGCCAAAGCCGCTTCACTGTCTGCGGTCGCGAGAGCTGTTCGAATGTCAGTATATCTTACTTAACCGGAAATGGGAATAGCAGCCATACCGTCACCTCGCCGTCCAACAAAGCCGAAAGCGCCGGGGAAAGAGTCAGGGGTTTCTAGACAGCCGTCAGCACCAGTCGCCTCCATTAGGAAGTGTTTGCAGCATACGTGAAACCCGCCAGATCTGTTGACCTTCTTTCCTGAGTCCGAGCCCGATTCAAGTTCCGAATCATCCTCAGCCTTCACTTTCTTGGACGTCTTCGCTTTGGTGGGCTGCTTCTTCTTCACGGGCTGGCTTCTGCGTGTACTGGCCCCGCGGGTTTGGCGCGCACGCATGTTTTCCTCGGCCTGGAGTTTGGCTGCGAACAAGGCATCCGCATCGATATCATTGTCGGGCTTCTTCTTCTTGATAGGAGGAGTCTTGCTTGAAGTGTCCGAGCGCTCTTCACTCTCCGCTTGGCGTTTCTGCGACATGGAAGATTGAGCCGGAGAGGACGGCTCAACAGGAGTCACCGAGTCATGGTCTTTCCCGTGGCCATTGGTGGAAGCAGAGGTCGCTGGTGTCTCCGATGCGGTTTGAATGCCCTTTTGTGCCGCACAGACGTCGAAGCGCTCCATGATAAGCTGCTTGATGGCAAGCTGTATGGATAAAATTAACATTAGCATTATATTTGAGGTCTACCGCCGTGAATCAAAAGAGCAAAGAGCAATATGCGACAATAATGAAAGATCGGGGGCGCAGACCTTATGCGGGGCAAGATCATAGCCGATCTCATCCTGAAGGCCGTTGCGAATAGTTTTTGAGGAGATGGTGGTCAAATCGCTTTTGGCCAGAATTGAATCAATGATCGGAATGTATTGCTCGCGGGCTTCTGGGGATACTATTCCATGGGAAAAAGAAAAAGCCATGATGTCAGTTGAGAGCGATCTCGGCGTGGAGCAATCGACCGGGAACATCAGACTTCCGAACTTACGCGACATGGTGGACCGGGTAGCTTTGCTTTGCAGCACCTCTGCAGGAAATGACACGACTGAATGGAATTTAATGTTGTCAATTGCTGACCGGACTCAATGTAAGAGTTCGCAAGGCTATCAGCAGCGGGATTCAGCTCACGGTGGTCGTGCACTGAGGAGGACCGTCTAGATCTGGGCGTAGCGCTGGCGCTTAGGACCGGCGGGGCATAAGAGAGAGGAGGTACGTAAAGGCCCCAGGAGAAAGTAGGACAGGGAGAGAGAGATGGATCAGACAAAACAAAGGGGAGTAAACGAGGAGATCGTGACGGCCGGCCCACAACGACCAGCAGCTATCACCCGCAGCAGCAACGGAAAGCGGGACGATGCGTGAGGATCGCGAAATGTTATGGCTGGTCCAAGCCGATTGTACAAGTCGGTTACAGAAGACATAATCAGCCGGGCGAGAAGCTGGGGGCGGGTGGCTTAGATAAGCACCATCACGTGGTGGAGCTGGAGAAAGAATAGGCATTTTACTAGTGGTATCGTGAGAAATGGTCATTTACCGTCACTTTACCGTACGGAAAGTGAAAGCAAGCAGAGACAATGAAGAGATGACTCAGCCCTGACTCAGCTGCCTTCGCACACAGAAGGCGCTTGTGGTTTGGGATTTGTTCTTTTGCCCTAAAATCAGCCAAATCGGGGTCGACCAGCAGAAAATCCAGAACAGCATCTTTCATCTTCAAGATCATACCCTCTCCACCCTCAACCCCCCATATCGCCGTTCGCTGCGCTGCAACCATGGCGCCCAGTTTTGACACCCTGTCTGAGCAGGATCTCCACGAAGAGGAGGAGGAGGAGGTTGACTTCTCCGGTGAGTGCGCCTCGCGTTGTCCCATCATCTTCTTCTCACCCCGTTTCCCCCGTGCCCCTCGCCGCTGACTCCGCCCGATTTTCTCCATCCAGATCTCAAGGAGCAATATGAAGTGAAGCTTGAGGAGGGTTTGGACACATTTGTTGTGATCGATGGACTTCCGGTCGTCCCCGAGGAGAGCCGGCAAAAGCTCATCAAGTTCTTGTTGAGGAAGCTCAACACGGTCGGCCACACTTCGGAGGATGCCGTCTTCATGCCCATCAACGACAAGAACATGTCCGAAGGGTATGTTTCAACTTAGGAAATCTGATTGCGGTTGGGAAAGGTTGTGGAAACATTAACACGTCGTTTCAGTTTCGCCTTCGTTGAGTACGAAACCCCCGAACAGGCCGTCGCTGCCGTCAAGCAACTGCACGGTGTACCCCTCGATAAGAAGCACACTCTCGCCGTCAACAAGTTGATGGATATTGATCGTTATGGCCGGGAAGGACGCATCGACGAGGAATACAAGCCCCCCACCATCGAACCCTTCAAGGAGAAGGAGCACCTCCGCTCATGGCTGGGCGACGCCAACGCCCGTGACCAGTTCGCCCTTTACCGTGGCGACAAGGTTGGTGTGTTCTGGAACAACAAGAGCAACCCCCCGGAGAACGTCGTCGACCGCGCGCACTGGACTCAGCTTTTCGTCCAGTGGTCCCCCAAGGGTACCTACCTCGCCTCCGTCCACCCCCAGGGTGTCCAGCTCTGGGGTGGTCCCGCCTTCTCGAAGCAGAAGCAGTTCCCCCATCCTTTCGTTCAGCTGGTCGAATTCTCGCCCGGTGAGAGCTACCTGACCACCTGGTCCGCCCGCCCCATCCAGGTGGAGGAGGGCCACCCCGTTTTGACCTACGAGGAAGACGGAAAGAACATCATCATCTGGGATATCGTCACTGGAAAGCCTCTTCGTTCCTTCGTCTCTCACGATCTGACTGCCGGCCCTAGTGCTGAGGGCGAGCCCAAGAAGAAGGTCCAGTGGCCCGCTTTCAAGTGGTCCGCTGACGAGAAGTACGTCGCTAGAATGCTGCAGCACCAGTCGATCTCGATTTACGAGCTCCCCCGGATGAACTTGCTGGGCAAGACTTCCGTCAAGATCGATGGTGTTATGGACTTCGAGTGGTCCCCCGCCACCGTTGTCCGCGAGGGTGTCAAGCAGTACGAACAGCTGCTCTGCTTCTGGACTCCCGAAATTGGCAGCAACCCGGCCCGTGTCGCCTTGATGAGCGTTCCCTCGAAGGAGATCGTCCGTACGCGTAACCTGTTCAACGTGTCGGATGTCAAGCTGCACTGGCAGTCGCAAGGTACCTACGTCTGTGTCAAGGTCGACCGTCACTCCAAGTCCAAGAAGTCCATGGCCACCAACCTGGAGATTTTCCGTGTGCGCGAGAAGGGTGTCCCCGTCGAAGTCGTCGACAGTCTCAAGGATACAGTCATCAACTTTGCTTGGGAGCCCAACGGAGGACGTTTCGTCGCCATCACCACCGGCGAGGCCCCCAGCGGCACCGCCGTTCTCCCCAAGACCTCCGTCTCTTTCTTCGCCCCCGAAAAGAAGGGTGTCTCGGCCGGCAACTTCAAGGTTGTCCGCACCATTGAGAAGAAGACCAGCAACGCCATCTACTGGTCTCCCAAGGGACGTTTTGTCGTCGTCGCTACCGTTCACTCCCAGACCAACTTCGATATTGATTTCTGGGATATGGACTTTGAGGGTGAGAAGCCCGAGGGCGAGAAGGATCTGGCCGCCAACCTGCAATTAATGAAGACCGTTGAGCACTACGGTGTTACGGATATTGACTGGGATCCTACGGGTCGCTACGTTGTCAGCAGTGCTAGCGTGTGGACCCACTCGGTATGTTCTTCCTTCTTAGTGTCTTATCACAATTGCGTTACTGACGTGTATTATGTAGATGGAAAACGGCTACAACATTCACACCTTCGCCGGTCAGACCCTCGCCGAACACCCCACCGACAAGTTCAAGCAGTTCATCTGGCGCCCTCGTCCCCCCACTCTTCTCAGCAAGGAGGAGCAGAAGCAAGTGCGCAAGAACCTCCGCGAGTACTCGAAGGAGTTCGAGGAGGAGGACAAGTACGCTGTCGACATTGCCAACACAGCCGTTGTGGAGACGCGCAAGCGCGTGCTCAACGAGTGGACTGCCTGGATCCGGAGGGAGAAGGAGATGCTTGCGGAGGAGAAAGACGCCTACGGTGTGCCGGAAGACGTCGACTCTTCCAAGCAGGCCAAGGATGCCCCTGCTGTGTCGGAGGACCAAGGCGAGACAGTGGTGGAGGAGATTGTGGAAGAGATCATCGAGGAGAACGAGGAAGTCATTGGTTGATTGGGAAGCCAGCTTCGTATCTAATGTGTTCTATTCCATCCATTTCCTTTTCTTTTTCATTTCCTTTTATTCTTATCTCGCATCTTGTCTGTCGATATCCTCGCCCTTTTTCCTTTACCTTTCCTCTCTGAAGACCTCACACTTCATCCTCTCTTCTTCCCTGTGAGACTTCATCTGTGATCCATATGTGATCCATTTGGATTGGTTCCAGCGCGCGCGTGGGGGCACCTGTGTCTGGAACATTTCAAAAAAAAAAAGTGAATAGAATCTGTGTTTGCATATTTCTTTCCCGAGCGTGAGGGGGAAACTTTGATGTGCGTGATGTTGGTAGCAATGAGAGATGACAGACAATGATGACTATTGCAATCATTCAAGTTCAGTTTATACCACTTCATACTATCTCAACCAATTACCCAAAATTGAACTATCCAAAAGTCAACAACACCAACCACCACCCCAACACAACCCACCATACTCCCATTATACATTCAACCCTCTGAGCCCCATTCCCAGCGGACCCCGTATTATACGGCCCAGAATAAGTACTCGACGGCTGCACATTAATCTTAAAGAACTCCTTATCCCCCAACTTCTTATTCCCCCCAATGATATTACCCCTAGGCGAGTATTCACAAACGACATACCATCCTTGCGGTCTCTCCGTTCCATTGATCCCACCCCCTCCTCCTCCTCCACTTCTCTTCCCATTCCCATTCCCGTTATCATTATCATTAGTAGTATTAGTATTATTATACCCACAATCAATAGCCGCGCACCCCACCTCCCTCGTCTCCCTCCACACCAACTGCGTAAAATGACCCGTTTCCTCCGTGAACCCCGTCGGCTCCTGGAAATTGTATTTCTGTACTTCGTCGCCCCAGGCGGCTACGGCGGACGAGACGTTGGGGTACCCGAAGGCGAGGTTCTCGCCGTACGGGCCGTTCTGTATGTACATTATTCATTAGCTTCTTTTTTATTTTTTGGTTTGTTTGTTTGTTTCTGTGAATTAGTATTCATATGATCTTGGGGAAAGGGTGGCGGGGAAGAGTACTCCATACCGAATGCTGCCATTTACATTCCTGTGCCCAATTCATGGCGTATTGAGTTAACGTTGTGTTCCAGATTAGGTTGCTTGCGTTGTGGGCTTTGCGGTAGGTGTTGCTGACGTCTAGGATGGAGGATTGGAAGAGAGCTGGGGAGGTGTAGGAGGGGGGTTCTTGGGTAGTGGTAGTGGTGGTTTGTGGTGCTGTTGCGGTTGCGGTTGTTATGATGGTGACTATTACTGTTGCTTTTGGTTGTTGTTGTTGTTGGGCTGTGGTGAGGGTGGTGAGGGCGCTTAGGAGGATCATGAGTATAGTTGCGGTAGTAGTTGTGGTGGTAAGTATCCTTGGGATTGTACGATGGAGCATGATGATGATGATCTCATATAATGTTATGCGAGTATAGAAAGTTTAGTATAGTATTTGAGAGGATATTTCTCATGACGGAAATGTAGATTGTATAAATGATGGATCGCAGTCAGTCAGCAATTGTCAGACTGAAACAATGCAGTGGTGAGTGGTTGTGGTTGTGGTTGTGGCGCCAATGGCTTGGTTCCAGGTTGAAACACATTGCTTCTTCTTCCCTTTGGCTCGGGGTGGACAGTTCTTTATGTCTCTCCTGGCTTATTGCCGTCATTACTTGGAGCTTATGGACTGGATTTCGGGGGTGGGAAACTGATGTCAGGAATTAGCCGGATAGATTTAGAGTTTCCTGGAGATGCGATCCGTCGGGCGGGTAAAGTCGCTGTATGTATGATGCAACTGGTTGGGTTACGTATTAGTAATAACTCAATGCGAAAGAGATTACTAGTACTGTGTAGTTTGTTGCAGTCTTCGTGGCTGGCTGGTTGGATTGGAATTGTTGTACGCTGGTCATGTCAGCTTGATGTTGGAGGGATTTTGGGAGTATGAGGTTGGGTAGTAGTATCAATTTTGTGGCTCTTTTCTCTGCTACTGAATCATATAATCATCTGTCTATTCTCTAACCATGAAACTGGCAAAGCCCTGGGGTATTCGTAGCTCTATATACACCGTATAATCGTAATGCTGGACATGATTCTCACATAACGTTGCAGCCAATACCATACATGGCTCGTTCGACGTCTCGTTTCACTTGGTACCAATCCGCCCGTCGCTCGGCGAACTCGTACACTTCCTCCACTCGCCAAATCCCATTGAACCGGTCCGCATCGGCGATGATGGTGGCAAGCTCTTTGGCATCAGAGGGGTCGATCAGATAGATCTGCGATAGTTCCCGGAACGCCTTGAAGTAGAGGAGAAGGTCGTTGTTCCTGAACGTCTGGATGAATTTGAAGTAGTGATTCATGTCGCTACAAGAAGTCAGCTTCGCTATCAACTTCAAAGACACAGCGATATCCTACCTGATGAGCTTCAGTGACCCCTCAATGCTGATCCTCTGCCGCTTTAGATGCTTGCATAGAGCAGCAAACAGGCGGAGCCCGACCTCTTGGTTGAAGACGTCCAGCATACTCTTGTCTGTGCTGCCAACCAACATCTGTGTATGAGATGAGACCACATCCACCACGGCCGCCGCAGCCTCGGTGATACTGACATCCATCGTTCTACGATAGGGGTCAGTAGAGACACTAGGATTGAAGTCGGTCGCCAATTGTCTCGTTGCCAGAATGTAGTCCACTTCTTCCATAAGAACATCGATTCCTTTGTTAAGCCCAGCAGCAACCCGTTCATCCAAGCTCTGCTCGAACTTTTTCTTTTCCTTGACGGCCGGATCCAGAAAATCATTGCGGTCCGTCAGTTTGGTGCCGATGAGTTCCTGTTCGTAAAAGACATCGATCATCTGGAGAATCAGATCACCAACATTCACCAGCTCCAGAAAGGTGACCAGCGGCTCAACGCCAGATTGGTCGCGTTCTCCTTGCTCGCGCGGCCGGTAGTTCGACAAGTGGTCCACAGCCTTATTGAACCCACCGATCAAGTGACGGTTTCCTAGAATGCGCACGAGGGCGACGAAGACCGCCTCGCACTGTTGTTTTGCAGCAGCTCCATATTCGCCTCTGATCTTCACAAACTGCGCGGCTCGCTCCAAGCTTGACTTTGCCGCGTGAACCAGACTAAGAGCAACTTCTATGCTGAAAAGAGATCGAATACCCTCGAGTTTAGACTTCATGATCGCGGCTTTTGCCGCAAGCTCTGTGGTCGGCGCCTCCATAATAGGAGGCGTCGTGGGCGACGCGATGGTTGAGAACCGATTGGGACTCTTCAGTGAAGAGGAGTCGCTGGCGGTGGGCTCCGATGGTGCCTTTTGCTCGTTCGCCTTGTTTCCTGAAAAGCTTGGAAGAATGTTGACGGGAGCCATAATAACCTTCTTGAAAGAGGTCAAGAAGTCACGCTTATCAGCCTGCCTATTGATGTTCGACATCAAGAATGACTCCGTCGAGGCTGCCTGCTCCGATAGCTGTCTATCCCAGTCCCCCACGGCCGCCTCAGATAATTTCCGGAAATGATCCAATTCCTCTGCGAGATATAAGTCCATGTGGGGTACATAGGCTTTAGCAATGACATGATCCATGAATTCATCAAAACTGTCGTCCAAATTCTGAATTGGCAACAACGTATCCGAGAGATTAAGGCATTGAGCAAATGTTCCCGAGACGGCAGTCAAGTAGGACTCGGTATTTGAGCCATGTAGCTCATCGAAAATGGCAGTCAGAAATGGGTAGAGCACATCCTGCCCAACCTTTTCGATAAACGGTGTCGATATTTTCATCGACGGGGGAAAAGCACGATTGATGATCGATACTTCCTCATTATAAGCCACACTCAGCCGAGTGAAGAAGGCCTGTGTATGTTCAAGTTTGACGCGTTGCGAGAAAGGATCAATGCAGTCCGAGACTTTGCCGAGATCTGATCTTCTGGTAACGAGATGGTTGTGTTGTATGAAGAGTTCAACAGCTGCCTCTCCGCCGTTCAACGTGTACAAAACATGGGCATATTTTCGCATCCTGTCATCAATATCCTCTGTCTCGTATCCATGTCTAAACTCCTTTATGGCCGATATCTCGAACATCGACACAGCAGACTGCAATTGTTCAAGCCGTCCACGCCATCCTTCGTCTGCATCGCATTCGGAAAAGGATTGTAGTTGCGACAGTATCTGCGCTTGGTGCTGTGGATCGGTGTATTTCTTGAAAAGCAAGCTATCCGGAGAAGGACCGTTCGTAACGATATCATTGTAGTATGGTGCCAGCGCTGCATGTACCTTTCCGTACTCCTGGCGGGCCTCTCCACGAACCGACTTGACTTGTTTCAGAGCGCCGATGACGGGATCATTTTCTGATCCATCCGATATATCAGCATTGGCCGAAGTGGTTAGATTGATCTGGTCGAATCCGTCAGAGATCGATTGTAGATCGGCCCGGGAACTCCGTGAGACGTTGGGTGCAGGTTCGTCGTGCGGTGCTTGCGCATCCTCAACCTCTTGCTCCTCGACCGTTCGCACATCTGCGATAGTTCCGAACACTTCTTCCGTATGCTTTCTTGCCTCCACCTCGTCCCAACAACCCATCCGTTTCAGTTTCTGCACCCATCGCGTGTCATCGTATGCCATCTCGCGCAGGAGTTTGGAAGACCGGGCTACTCGTATGAGATCGACAGGGGAAAGGTAATCAAGGATTGAGGACATGATCTCTGGTCATTGTTAGAATGTCCTGCAGTGAATGCGATCCATCTCCCCGTTCGTCCTTTCTTGTTCGGTATTCACAGTTGAGACGTACCTGCTGGAAGGATGGCCCTGGAGATTTCCTCCATCGAGGCCATCTTGAGTGAAGCCAGAACATCCTTGCGCGGCTTCACGCCGGCACCTGGCCCAGTCCTCGCTTTCTGCATCTTGTAATTTCACAGTCGGCATCGGGAGGGACGTCGAGTTCGTCCGTCAAAGGCTCCAGAAGCTCAGCGCGGACAAGCCGGTCAGGGTCCCAGCGTTCCCACCGACTAGCTCGCTCCGCGGGGCTGCCCCAATTAGTCGAACGTAAACCCGAGTAATCGAGCGACACCGGAATTGCTGGCAAAAATGGGGAATCATGAAACATCGGTTCGCATGGTGGAATCATAGCCCCTAAATCTGAGGAATGGAACAATCCACGGCGCCGAGCAATTGCATCGGTCGGTTGGCAGTTCGTCACTGTGGGCGGAACACCCCAGAAATTCCACGGTTTGGATCGGCCGGCTGCTTACCTTTCCGCTGGTCTGCTCCGGAATTCCAACTCACCCCAGTAAGCAGTATCACCACCTGTTTCACAACATCTTTACAACGGTCCGAGTAAGCGCAGAATGGGTGTTTCCTTGATGAACATCAAATTCTGAAACATCCGGTGGGTAGTCACGCTGATCCGTTCGCAAAATTTCCCCAGAGTCTGCCAGTGGGGCGATATATATTAAATTCAGAACAGCGACGGGGAGTACTAAGTAAGTACGTAGTAGTAGTGCTCTCAGTGGGATTCAAATGGTATTTCCCTGAATTTGAAGTTATCAAGCTCCAACAACCGGGGTAAACAAGGCATTAATACTCTTTATACCAATCTGCGCTTCCATACGAACTAAAGAGTTAGTATTACCAGTACCACCAAGGTAACAATATCATATCCGCTCAATGAGCCAAACATTCCCACCTCGTTTCAATACTAGTTGCTATCGTGTTACCATATAATTCTGGCGGGCGTCTTGCAATCGACCTTCTACTACTTAATAGGAGTATATGCACATGTTGCAGAATGTATTGTGAGACGAAGTGTTTTAATATTGATATGGTTTCATGCAGTGCTAATACGTAGTGGGCTGATCTTGCATATATGCTTGTTTTACACCTTGGAACAGGATGATACTCCAGTAAATCAAGTGAAGTGAATGCCGCAGATGTAGACGACGATGTCCGTATTGAAGTGTCACAGTACCCAGTATGAGACTACCTTTCAGATCGGCCGCAGATGTTCACTTTACGTTCCTCATTCTCTCCTTCTGAATTGTCTCTCCTCCCAAACCCACAAGCAAAATGGACATGAGCGTCAACAGTTGCGTTTCAAACCCAGTGGAAGAGTCTCAACGCCCCATACTGCACATTGAGGCTCGAGTGAAACATGCTAATGATGGCATGATTGTTCGCACTGATTTGGTAGGCTACTTGATACAACTCGCGATTCATGAATTGACGGAACAGCAGGTTAGGGACAAGGTTACAGAATGGCTTCACAACAATTACATCGTGATGTCTGTTGATCAGTTTATCAATTCTTTCGGTCAGGAATTTACCAAGATGATAACCTCCGAACGTCTTTCTGACGATGAAAAGGAGGTCTAAGCGAACCACATGCCCAAGTCCTGGAGTTCATACTCGTGACCGAATGTAGCGGCGGAAATCTGGATTCCGGTACATATCGACTTCAGGATGTCCAATTGGACGTTCAAGTATACCAACTACGTACCAAATCGGAGCGACAAAGCTTGCAGAAGACCAGTGCACTTGAGGATTCAACAGAAGCCGGGGGTGGAGTCGCTACGGCAAGAGTAATGGCCTTACCGAGCATAGATCTGGAGGGACTATGGGAGACGTACGCTGACCTGCTAGTTCTTCCCAGGCTGAAAGTAACTGATCATTT